CTGAAGTAAGTAATTAAGAACGTCGCTACCATATAAATCATCTCAAACGCTTGGCAAGTACAGCTTACGTAGTCTTTGTATGGAACTATTTAATTTGACATAGCCAATCGATGTTAGTTTACTTACTATGAGTGAGAATCCAGTTTTTTCTTATTAGCATTCGATCCTGGGTAAGTGGATGAGGCTTAATATTGCAGTCGACCGTGAAAATCCTCTATATATATTGACAAAAATGTTTGGAATGACAATAAATCCAGCACTGCTTTTAATCTTTTTGCGCATAGTAAACAAGAGGTTTGTGTATGACCATTTGCCCATTACGATTCCGCTGCTCGATAATAATAATAATAATAATAATAATAATAATAATAATAAAATATTAATAATATACACATGCAGCGACCTAAATATATGCAAGTTCAACGATTTCTTCATCTCATGAATACACGTTCCTTCATTGCAAGTTTTTTGCAAACTATAGCCTTGTCCTAGATATATAAAAAAAACGAAAAAATACGCGTGCATGTTTTCAAATGTCAGTTCAATGTCCCCACAATAGACGCCCAGAAAAGATACAAAAAATACATGCGTACACAGCGTGCGCGAGTGCGGGGAAAATAGGGAACGTGAGTCGCCTTTCTTGCGGACGAGCGCGAGCGAGAAATAGAAAGTTGCCTAGGGGTGAAGAGAGAAGGGCGGAGGGAGAAAAGGAATAAACGAAAGTGAGCGATAGGACGAGAAAAAAGTAAAGGGTTTGATATTGTCTTGTGCGTGTGCCTGCCTGCCTGCCCGCCTGCGGTTCCTGCGTGCGGCTTGCGTTGCGTTGCCTGTCTCCTGCCTGCATATAATAAATGCCTGACGGGTGCATATGAGAGACGAACAACTGTGGAGGCGTGCCATCAGGACAATAGGCGGCAGCTATGTACGTGATATAGTCGAACCGTTGACGCCTCGCTCTATCTTTCGCACAGAATTCCAGATAATCGTCCAGTCAAGATTCCAGATATTCGTTTTTTAGTAAAAAGCTGTACACGTTCAGCTTCGAGCAAATTTAAACTGATGAGCAAAAACATTCCTCGATGTATTCAACAACGATGTTGGCTCCGGATCGAGGCAGATAAATAAAAGATCTCAGCGCGCTAATTTAATGCTATATTAATTGTTAATCGTCCTGCGCGCATGCTTACGCACCCTGCGACTATACTCTAAAATCAAAAACGGCAGCAGTAGCAGCAAACAGCACCAGCAGTAGCAGCAGCAGCAGCAGCAGCAGCAGCAGCAGCAGCAGCAACAACAACAACAACACAGCAACAGCAACAACAACAACAACAACCGCGGCCACCCCGTGCCTCGGACGGGCTGTAGCTTCAGTAGCGGCGGCGGTGCTGCTGCTGCTGCTGCTGCTGCTGGTGGTGGAGGTGGTGGAGGTGGGGGGAGCTGACATTGACAGCTAGTCTCATGCGGTAGTCTAGCGTGTGAGCATTAGCATGCATGCACGCGATCGCCGCCGCAGCTGCCATTGTTTCCCGCCGCGCGCAAACCGACCAGCAGCGGCCGGATCTGTTTACATTAGAAATGAATTAGCTTCGGAACGGGTTTGCTTAATTATTAGAGATGTTTTCGAAGCGTGAGTCGCGGCGACAACGCATCAGCGCTGCGTGCATGCTCCCCCGTCAGCGTGCGTGCGTGCGTGCGTACGTACGTGCGTGCATGCTCCCCCGTGAGCGGGCGTGCGTGCGTGCTCCGTGCGTGCATGCTCCCCCGTGAGCGTGCGTGGGTGCGTGCATGCTCCCCCGTGAGCGTGCGTGGGTGTGTGCATGCTCTCCATGAACGTGCGTGCTTTGTGCGTGCATGCTCCCCCGTGAGTTATATTATTATTATTATTATCATTACGCGCTATCCGGCTGTTTTACGCGTTAAAGGGGAAAAAGAAGCTGTTTAGAAATCGCCACTACCATGACGGCTTTAGGCGGTGAAACATAGAATGCGAAACAATGATAAGTTTGTCATGCTTCTGCTCATAACTTTCTGATTGGAACAGCGACGCATTACGGGTTCCCACT